TCCATGCCTCCCAGCTTGCCCCCCTGCTCAGCCCGCTGTGCTGCCCATCAGCCCCAGCTGAAGTGCTGCTGCCTTCTAGTGGCTCCCCAGGACAAGAGGGACATGGAGCTTCCAGAGAGGATCCAGCGGAGAGTGACAAACATGATGGAGGGACTGGAGCATCTGCCCTATGAGGAAAGGCAGAGCGAGCTGGGCGTGTTTAGCCKGGAGAAGAGAAGRCTGAGAGGGGATCTGATCAATAAGTACAAGTACCTGAGGGGAGAATGTAGGGAGGAAATGGCCAAACTCTTCTCAGTGGTGGCCAGTGACAGGACAAGGGGCAATGGGTAGAAGYTGAAACACMGTCAGTTCCATCTGCAAGTGAGGAAGAACTTTCCTGTGAGGGTGACAGAGCCCTGGCACAGGCTGCCCAGGGAGGCTGTGGAGTCTCCTTCTCTGGAGATCTTCCAAACCCGCCTGGATGCCGCCCTGTGCTCTGGGTGTCCCTGCTGGAGCAGGAGGRTCGGACTGGATGATCGCTAGSGGTCCCTTYCAACCTTAACCAGTCTGTGATACTTTGCATGGATCATGAGGGAATTCCCATAGCCATCYAACCTAACTCCCCCGTTTCTCCTGCTCCTCTGTCACTTTGGGGTAGTTGCACCTGGCACTTGCAACTGCATCAACTCCCTTCTGCCATCTGTATTTTTCGCTTTTGTTGCAAATGCAGCTGTACTCATGGAGTATGTGCATAGGAGCAGTATGTCGTATCATCTACTCCAAGTTGCGTTGCAGACTCAGCAGAATTGTCCCTGTCCTTTTAGAAGTCGAATGCCCTTAAACGAAAGGAAGGACATACAGAAGTTACAGCTGTGGATGGGTACACGGGCAGTGTGCGTGCCTGTATGCAGCAGGCAGAGCGGGATGAATCTCATTTTATTTGTACAATATGTTACAATTTTTATGCTGCAACTTGTACGTTTATGCAGTTGTGTGCATGTGTATACATACAAGATATGTATGTACATGTATACAKGTGAGTGTGTGGACTATGATATTTTCTTTCTGTTTTTTGCATGTATTTTTGTGAGTATGGGAAGTGTGGTGGTTTTCTGCTGATGTGTGTTTTAAGTTTGCACCTGCATGAGGTGTGTGTGTGTGTGAGGACATGTGCTTGTGTGTGTGCATGAGGGTTCATACGTACGGCTTGTATTTTCCTACTTCTGCCCTGTGCAGGGTGTGTGTCCTGGGCTGTGTGCATGCACCTAAAAGCAAATATTGGCACATTTCTTTTTAATAGCTTGCTAGTTTCGTTGCCCTATCCTGCTTAGTGGGGGAGGGCAGTTTGTAGGTTATGCTGGAGCCTGAGACATTTGCTGAGCAACAGCAAAACCATACTGGATATTTCAAGAATTTTGTTTTGAGGCAACTCATACATGGTTCCCAAACTCTTCCCAACTGTTTGCCGAACAGTTGCAGGAGAGCAGAAGGCCAYATATTTGCATTAGTTTTTCATATATTTACATAAATTCAGACACAATCTGTAGGTACCCTTTCACTTAAAGTGAAACCAATAGAATTTCGATGTGAGGAGCGAATGCATTTGCATACATGTCTGTATTTAATCCACGCTTTGGTCTGGTGTTCATTAAAAATCCAAGCAGATTAGGGGTTTTGTTCTTCGGTGCTGTTGCAAAAGGAAAAGCTCAAGGGTTCAACAGCTGGCCAGGCTTTGCACTGGGAAACGATGTCTTCTTGGGGGGCAACAAATCGGCACTGGCCACGGCCGGGGAGATAAAAGCTGGTCATAAGGACGATGTGTCGAAGGCAGAGACTGAGGAGTCCGTCCGTCCTGCTGACAGAGCCTGTAAGAAGATTAGGAAGGGGAGAGGTTTTGAACCGTGATTTCTGTGAACCTGTCTTCACTGTCGCAGCACAGATGGGCGCTGTGGCTCTCGCAGCGGGGCAGACACGTTCTGCCTTGACACAGGCCAAATACTGTGGGAGCAGCGGCTGCTGTGCAGCAGGAGCTGCAGCCGCGCCGAGCCGCCTCCCGCACGCCGGCCTCTCACTGAGCGCCGCATCCCTCACCTCGTGGAGGGAGGGAGGGAGGGCGCCCTTCGTGTGGGGCTGAACTGCCCGGGAGCGCTGCCCCACAGGCACAGGGAGCAAGGGGAAAGGGCTGTGGGAAGCTCCGAGGAAATGGCCGTGGGAAGCTCCAACYGAGGATAACCAGGATCTCTTTGTCCTAGAGGCGTCCACGGGGGCCGTGGGGCACGTGGATACACAAAGCAGCTGGTGTTATCTCCTCGGTTGAAAGGAGCAGGAGCTGGACTAGGCGGGRGGAAAAGCGCAGCCGTGTTATTTGCCGTGACCACGTGATGGTCCCTCTGCCTGCAGCTGCGGCCCCGYGGCTGCCCCACGTCGGCCGGTTCYGCGGGCGGGAAGCGGCGCCCGCKGCCCCTGCCCGTCGCCCACTCCGCGCCTGCCGGGGTCCCCAGCGCCTCCTGCACAACCCGGGCAGCCTGAAAAACACAGACACCAATAAACCAAAGGCTTGACAGACACAAAACGCTAGGCAGGGAAGGGGCACGAGCAAGGTAAAAGCCTTGATTTTCACCTGCACTCCCTGTGCTTAGGCTATTCTAACCCGTGCCYGTCTGCTGCGTGCACGCTAAGGCACAGTGGCATGATAGAGTGAGCAGTGTACAGAACCCTCAYGCATGGGCACTGCAGGGGTACTGCTCTGGAGTTTCTCAGATCTGTGCGCTTGTCCATATTCCAGGAAAAAAAAAATGCATTTCCACTTCCTTCTTCCAGAGCGCTGGCCAGCACCAGCCTCCAGCACAACTCTTGCAAGCTGGACTCCCTCAGGACTGGTTTAACTGGTGTTATCATTGCTAGTGAAACTTTCAGTCACGTGAGTTAATAACAGCAAGTGGTTCTATCCTACTATAGCTCCCCAAACCAACCAACCAACCAACCAACCTGCTTATATCCTTGTCTAGGAAGCTCTTCGCCTGCATTTGAATCCTGAGGTACCAAATCAGTTCCACATACTCCAACCGAACAGCACACGAGACTCAAAGCACAAAGCAAGCCCAGGAAGCAACGAGCACTCCCGAGAGCGCGGCAGGTCTCCGAGGGATGACTCAATATTGCAAAACAGGAGGCAGAGAGGTCGAGACAGATCTCCTCCTCTCTAGGCCACAGCTAGAAAAGCGGSTGTAGCAGAGGCTTCATGTTCACGGATGAGCTTCTGTGGTGCCCTTGAGCTCTCCAGTGGCGATGGCCACGGACGTTCCTGCAAAGTGGCTCGGTAACGAGCACTGCCAGGGAGCAGTGTCTGTGCTGGCACCGCGTCCCACAGCCGCGCGACCCACAGCTGCTGCGTCATGTTCTGCCCCTGCAGAGCGACGTCCCCTGCAGAACGGGGCACACTTGGGAGCCCCCGGGCGCAGGCTGCCAGCGAGGGCCTCCTGTCTTGCTGAGACCCACCCCCGCAGCAAGGACTGCTGCGAGCACCCCACAGGGCATTGCTGCACCCCACAAAGTGCTGCCGTGCCCCACAGGGCGTTGCTGTGCCCTAGAGAGCTCTGCCGTGACCCACAGAGCGCTGCCGTGACCCACAGAGCGCTGCCAAGCCCCACAGGGCGCTGCCATGCCCCACAGGGTGCCACTGCACCCCAGAGTGCAGGGGACCTGCGGCGGCTTCCCGGCACCTCCGCGCTGCCGCGGCGGGGTCCCGCAGAGCAACGCCGCCCTGCACGGGCACCCTGGCACGCCGGGCCGCCTGCCGCCACCGCGGCCTCCCACGGCCACGGCCACGGAGCCTCTCCTGCCGCTCAAACAGCCGCTCACCAACGGTCAGTGACTGCTTTTACTGGGAGCCAGACGGTGCCCGCCTTCTCCATGGGGACGTGTTGGGGACACGCAGGGGACATGTGGGAGACACATTGGGGACAAGCAGAGGAGACATGGGGTACACGCTGGGGACACCTTGGGGACACATTAGGGGCCGGCTGGGGACACAGGGGGTACACACTGGGGACCAGCCGGGGACACATGGGTACACGCAGAGGACACACAGGGGACACACGGGGGACAYGTTGGGGACCGGCCGGGGACACACGAGGTACACACAGGGGACACCTTGGGGACACATTAGGGACATGCTGGGGACCGGCCGGGGACACACGGGTACATGCAGGGGACACGTTGGGGACATGTTGGGGGCCGGCCAGGGACACACGGGTACACGTTGGGGACACGTTGGGGACACATTAGAGGCCGGCCGGGGACACACGGGTACACGCAGGGGACATGTTGGGGACACGTTGGGGGCCGGCCGGGGACACATGGGTACACGTTGGGGACACGTTGGGGGCCGGGCGGGGCCATGTTTGGGACATGCTGGGGACACGNTGGGACATGCTGGGGACACGTTTGGGGACACGTTGGGGGCCGGGCAGGGACACGTTGGGGACACATTGGGGACACGTTGGGGGCCGGGCAGGACCATGTTTGGGACATGCTGGGGACACGTTTGGGGACACGTTGGGGGCCGGGCAGGGACACGTTGGGGACACATTGGGGACACGTTGGGGGCCGGGTGGGGACACGTTGGGGACACGTTGGGGCCGGGCGGGGCCATGTTTGGGACATGCTGGGGAC